TGTTGTAAGTATTTTTTAATACTTTCTTTTATTAACCAACTTCCCATTCCAACTTGAATTGTTGGATTTCTTTTTTTAAACTATTGTTACAATATAATAATTAATATTATCCTAACTGCTAAATAAAGGTAGGTTAAAGGATAACAATTAGATTATAACTATTAAATTAAAGAGTAATATTTAAATTATAGAAATTAGATTATATTCAGATTATAGAGCAATATTCAGATTATACAGCAATATTCAAATTATAAAGTAGTATCTAAATTATGAAATTACTTATATAATCTAGTCTAAGTGATATATCACTATATAATATAATTATATATATAATAGTATACCACTACTAAGATTACAAATATATTTTTTTAGATAATTTTATAAAAAAATATTTTTATTAGATGTTTAGATTATATGGTTTAAAATTAACATTAAAAATTCAAATATAAATTTCTAGTATTATATTTTTTATTTGAATATTCAATTCATTATTATTGAATTCATCATATAATATCGAATTATTTGTATTGTTTATTTATTATAAATATTAGTAATTTTTTTTTAATTTTAAATTACATATATATTAATTAATTAAATTTTAACTTTTATTTAATATAGATGCTTTATAAAGAAAGAAATTTTTTTTTAAAATTAATGTTAAATAAGAACTTATTTTACTATAATAACAATTGATTCATTTTTATCATTTCTTTTCTTTCTATTACAAAATGCTTATATTATAAAAAGTTGATTAAATATAAACAAATTGATTAAGAAAAAAATAAAGATAAAATTAATAACTAATAAAATAATTTTAGAATTTACTTCAATAAAAATTAATATTATTTAACTGTAAAATATTTTTATTTATAAATTATTTAAATTATAGAATTTTAAAATAACTATATAATATTTATTTATAATAAAGTTATAACTTTTAAAATAATAATTTTTTTTTTCTTATTACAGATTAAAAAAACTATTTAGTTAAATTAAAAGTATTGTAAAATAATTACAACAAAAAAAAAAAGATCACTATGAACCATTAGTTCAATCTTTTCAATAGCTTATTCCTACGGATTGCTAATAATACATCTGATACAACCCAAGGAAAACTTAATAAAGTAATCTTATTTTTTCCATTATAAGGCAATTCACCTTGAGTATATGTAACAATATACCATGCTGAAGCTTTAGCTTTTGATTTCTCATTTATAGGAATATGTATGTCTAAATTGAATGGTGATATCTCATCATTGGTATTATGAATGTTATGAGCTTCTTGCAAGTTCATCAAGAATAATTTGCGATAATGATAGATTATGAAAGATGAAGTTCCGGAAATCGATTTTCGCTTTTCTTTAGCTTTCCTACTATCATTATTTCGAAGTCCTAATAATTGTGCAGTCAAAACTTCTACTTCAGTTTTAACATTATATTTTCTCATAAGTTTTCGAATTTCATCATTATAATAATCACGACAAGCAATAGCATCTTCTATATAATCTTGATATCCGTCATATACGAAATCTTCGTCTATAGCTGTTTCTTTATATTTTAGCAAAGGATCCTTCCCAGGTAAATCGAGTTGGATGTTGCGATACAATTTTCCTAGCACTTTGTTTGATTCATAAGATTCTTTAAATTGGTTCTCCATAAAGTCTGGATATTCCTTCATAGTTGGTAGTGCATTTAGTACTGGATATCCAGTTTTATTAAAGTCAACAGCATTAGAATGCTAATTTAAAATAAAGAAAAAAGCATTAATAATTAAAAATAGTACGAAATTATTATAAGGATATAACTCATTATTACCATTTCTGCTAACTTTATGCATTCATTAGATTTAACACCTTCCGCAGTAAAATCGGCAAATACTGAATGGAGATTGGCGATTTGACCGAGCCTATTGTTTAGCATGTAATCTTTAAAGAACTCACAAATATCTCCAATTTCAACATCTCTATCCAACTCCCTTCTTCCTTGGGAGTCAAATTCCATAGGATCCTCGTTCTCAGTAATAAAAATCCGTTCATCAAAACAAACAAAAAACGTATCACCATCTTTTACAATAAATATATATATATATTGTATATATAAACATAATGATCATACAAATTATGAAAGAATAATTTTGATAATAATAAAACATTACCTAAATCACCTCCACTCTTATTTATTTGGGGGAAAAAAAATAAAGTAAATTTTTTTTTTTTTAAAAAAAAAAAGAAAGCCATGAAATATTAAATACCAAACAATTTGGCAAAGGTCTATATCCTTTTTGGCTAAAGACTACACAGTTTCTTAAATGATGCAGTTCAGGAACATCAACTGCTTCAGCTTTCCTTAGATCTCCGGGGTGCAAACACGGGTTTCTAGTAATAACTATAGAATAATCAAAATATATTATACATAATATGAAATCATTTGTAACGTATAAAAACTTACCAGCTGGACCTTTCCAAATTTTATGTTCTCGAAGGATTTTATCATTCTTTTTATCAAATGTTAAATTTTCGTTAATGATTGTAGAAGTTTGCACAAAAATTTCGTCTTCTTCCAAAATTCCAGTCTCATCAATAACGCCCAATAATATATAAGAATTAGGCATTAAAATGCGAGCTTTTTGCCTAAGCGTCTTTAATGCATAAACGCGAGTACATTCCAAAATTGCTTTTAAAAATGGATCAGTTCCTCTCATCATTCCCTAAAATCCAAAATAAGAAATTAGAAATTACATTGATGTATATGATGTATAAAATACGACTGTTAAATAAACAAATTTAATACAAACTGCTCCAATCATACTGAGCATAGTACGCGCTATATGTGAACACTCTCTTACGATTGCACCACGTTTAACAATTTCTCGTGCCTGATCCTCATTCGTCATCATTGAATCTATATCTTTACGTATTTTATTTTGTAGTTGGATAAAGACATGATCTGGCACCCCATGTGCCGACAATATCAAGATAATCTGTTTATTTAAATGGCCAGGCAATGGAGTTCTCACGGATTTCACAATCTCCAATATTGAAGATTCGGCTTTGAATTTTTCTTGACTAGGACGTATGCATAAAACATCACCTTCAAGATTTGGATCTACTGCAACCATTCCCTAAAGAATATATGTGTGAATATATGTTAAACAAAATAAATGTAAAATGAGGTGAAAAGCGTATACCATTACCTTACATCCACCAAACCGTATTTGAAACACTGATGGAATTTCCTCATCCTTTGGCTTTTTGGTTCCCCAATATTCTTTCGCCGCACGCTTTGCTAAACTTTCCGATATTTTCCCGCAACCATCGCTAAAAAAATCAAATAAATAATAATAATTTATTATGTTAATTCTTGAATTGAATACTGTACAAATGGTATTATGAAATGAATGATCATATCACCTAAATTTAAAATCATTTCTTTCGATTTCCTCTAATGTGTAATCTACTTGATTTTGACTTAGCTCCAACGTCCCAATTGTACTTGTAAAGCATTGTCCCATACGAGATGCATACAATGCTGGAGCCTTAATCTGGCTAAATTAAATTAGTCAAATTAACAAAAAGACTCTCATCTGCAATTTATAAAAAACCACCAACCTAAAGTCTCCCATGTGAGCACGGATAAAATTTGCATTAAATTCTCCATCTGTTGCGACGAACCAACAAGAAGTATCCTGTAATTGGGATGACGAAAAAGCTAAAAATTCGTAATGTCGCCCAGCCACATTGAATCCATTTGTCATAATATACATAATTCTCAAATTAATTATATCAACGTCATCGAATTTATTAACGAACATTCGATCCAAGTCTTCTTCTGTAAACGTTATACGCAAAAAACGGTCTATTTTATCCTCATATAAACGTAATATCCTATTCGACTGTTCATAGTTAGGCCCGTCGAAATATATTTTTGTAGGCGTTATCGTTGCATGGTTGACCCATGCACAATGCGTATTATTCGTCAATTTAAGGTTCGGGTTAGATGGGTGCCAAATGGTAAATTCACTCTTAAAATTTTTTATCGCAGTTTCAAAAATCGATATTGGACGATCTTGATATTTTTTATCAAAAGGATCCCAATACTTGGTAGATATTTGATTTAATGCGTGCCACGCTATTATTTCTTGTTCTTCAAAGAGTATTAAGTGAGATAATCGTTCTAACATATTGGACTCTCTTATTTCACAAAATGTTAACGTCCCTTGGGAAATCAAACTTTCCAGTTTATAGCATATTCTAAACGGTAATACCTGAAAAGCTGAATCCTCCAAATATTCTTTTGAATAAATTGGTTTATCAATAACTTTGATAGAATATTGAGGAATAGGACGAGGAACACCTTTAGCCTTGAGATTATTTAATACCGTATTTAACTTATTAAGCTCATCTCTAAAGATTAATCTATATACTAAACACCTTCCAAAGACATTAACAATTCCGGTCCAATCAATTGTTCTGATCCAATGACCTTGATCTATCTGCTCCCAGGAAAAACGCCCAATAGCATTTTCAATCTCGGTCGTTTCTTTTTCAAGGGCTTCGCGGTAAAGATACGGTGGATGCTTTAAGCTAATGTAAAGTGATATTACACCATCACCTTCATCCTTAAAGACTTCGGTCGTATCTTCCAAAATGTGGAAAGGAATTTTAACACGTTTTTTTTTGTTGGTCCCGTGAGAATCTTTTGATAAATTGAATCCTTCTAATATAAAAGCTTCACTGGTTTCTGAAAAATACACTCTGGGCTTTTCATAATATTCCGGATACTTCCATTCTTTTAAGAATGCAGATTGTTCTTTTCTCTTTGTATGCACTATCGATTGTCCACCCCAATTCCCGATTTCCAAACTTGATAAATTAAATACATCTTCATTAACATGATTCCATTTTGTTTTCTTATGCCTTGTAGAATTACTCAGGCTAACGCGTAAAGCTCTTCCCAAGCATAGTAGTTTTTGCCGTGCTGTAAATTCGATAGAATCAGCGGCATCCTCTTTATTTTCAAATTCTACAAAACCATAACCAAAAATTTCATTATTTTTATGTGGTAGGTCACAACTAATTATGGGTCCAAAACCTGATAATGTTTCAACAACATTTGTTGCAATAGCTTCAAATGGAATATTACAAACAAATACAATTTTTTCCTCTGTCATGATATATTAGGTAAATTTGAAAAATAAAAGAGAGATTATCTTAAAATTATTATTTTAAAATTCCTAACTACATATTTATGTATTTTATTAATGCTGTTTTCGGAAAACAAAAACCTTCAAAATCTCGATTTAAAGAAAAGATCTACATTTGATGTAACTATACAAAACTGGTAATCTGAATTAACGAACAGTTCAAAAAATATTTAATTTATTTAATTCCTTCGAAAACTGAAAACTGTTCATTATTGTGCGCTAACCATATTTTTTTTTTTTATTTCTCCTTATTTAAACATTTTATTCTTGGTCTTTATCTTCTACAAGGAAAGAGCCACTTAGTCGTTGCATTTAAACCATATCGAGTAAAAAGGAATTTTTTTGTTTAAAAGAAAGATCAACTTTTCCCCCTGAAATCAGAAGTTTTGAAATGAATATTTTGTTTGGATGTTTGGAGGAAAAAAAAAAGATTTTTTTTTCTTTTTTTATTAATAGGAAGCCTTACTATATTTATTTTTTAATGGGATAAAAATTTATAATAATAGGTTGTACTTTTTTGTACTTTAGCGTCGTGTAACAAATTTTTTTTAGTTCATATACGGGTTATCAGTATACGGGTTAAAAAACAATCAAAACATCGTAACGCGCGTTATAACAAATCACATTTGGTTTGTCAGATGATCGATTGATGGTTACGTAACTTAATAAGCCACAAACCTATTTTTTTTTTCTTTTCGTTTGTGTTTATAAAATTTTTTTTTTAAATTTGTTATATTTCCAACTTCGACGGATATTTTTTTGTTTTAATGACATTCCATTAAAAATGTATAATTCACTATCTTCTTCATGCTCCACTGGCTTTATTGGCAGCAGCTGTTATGGTCTACCAGTAAATAATGACACACTTGAAAAAATATATTGTAATATACCAGCAACTGAAGTTCTTGAAGAAATGTATAAGACACTGAAATTGGATATTCCTCCAATGTATACGTTTCGTCAAGAAACTATTTCACAAAAATATTTTTGTAGTGCTGGTTTTATTAAAATATGGTATGATACAAAAGAAACCTTTTCAGATAAAGAAGGAGCGAAAGAAGCTGCTGCTAGAAACCTATTGAAGATAATTATGTCTTTGGAAGAGCATGAAAAGTTCCTTCAGGTTCTAAGAGAAAAGTTGAAAAAGAACCAGGAAGCAAATGATGATGGAGGGTTATCCAATTTTATGAAAAACTTACACCTTAATATTCCAAAGAAGAAAAAAAATAAAAATAAACATAATCCTACCGTTACTGGTAGACCTAGAAGAAGCAAAAAATCATTTGATATGCAAGTTAACACTCCAAAACTGGGTAAGAAGCATAGGAAGAAATTACGAAAAAATCAACAAGCTATGGCAGCAATTAATCAAAATTTTAATCAGGAAAGTAAACCTAAAAAGGTGCAATTTGATGATAGGATCCTAATTCTCGGTGAAGATGTTATACCAAAATCAAATAGATCAAATGGTATAAGGAGTATAATGAGTCAAAGAAGAAAGAACTCAACGGGTACGTCGAGTTTATACGGTGCAATTTCTAATAATTCACCAGAAACTTACCAAATATTGGTAGAGGAATTTGCGGAAAAAGATAAAATCTGCGTTCCTGCTAGCAAGTTGTTGGATGAGTTTTGTACCATAACAAATATTTCTAAACCAAGGTATGAATTCTGCGACGATGGTTATGGAAACTACGTCGCAGAAATTCTAGTTGGTGAAGTTAAATATAAAGGTGAACGGGTTTTTTGGTATCCTGATGAAGCTCAAGAATGTGTAGCAGAGATAGCTTTTAACGTTTTATATGCCAAAATTGATGAGAATACACGAATGGAATTCAAAAGGAGAATTCATCATGCATTTAACATGCCTAAAGAAATGCAAACACCATTAACTATATCACAGCAAGGATATGAATCGCAAAATCATGTGCCAGCATATCCAAACTATAGCGGCAATCCTTGCATACAACAACCATTTGGAATGACATCTCAACTGCCTCCGCCAATTTATCATAATAATCCGATGGAATTTACATCTCAACCAATATTCAACTTACCACCCACAACATTAGCAGCTCCTTTTTCAACACATCATGCTCCAAACCTTGAAAGTGTTCAGCAGCAAACTCGTCAAGAAATCCCGGTAAATATTCCAACAAAACGTGCAAATCGAACAGACGTATCTCAGCAGCAAAAGGAACCCATAGCACAATATTATCCTAACATTTTGTATAAACTTGTTAATGAAAATGATTGGGGTATTATTGAATATCAGTTCAGTAACACCTCGAAAGGTTATAGATGTACTTGCCACGCTAGAAAATTAAAATTCATTTCGAATCCATGTGCAGATAAAGAATCTGCTAAAAATCAAGCAGCTAAAATTGCTTTCTTGGCGTTTTTGGAATATGGTAATTCCGACGAAAATCTAGTATAAGTAAGTGTGAATTCTTTTATGTTATGATCATTCCGTCAAAATTTTAAATTAAAGATTAATTGTTAATAATTCTGTAATTTTTTTAAAACCTTCGACTATTTATGAAAATACGCGAAGTTGTTTCATATATCAATAAGCAATTTCGTTATTGTTTTCTGGGAAGTGGTTATATTTATTTAGTGATTATGGAAATGAAATGTCTCAACATTTCAGCTTTATTGCTAAAAAATGACCATTTTACTTCATTTGTTTGACTTCATTTTTTTTTACTCGTTATATTTTCTTTGCATTTTCTACAATTTTAGCGTCATAATGGATTGAAATTGTATACCTATTTCCAATTCTTTATTATTGTTGTATATAAACACGTATATATATATATCCTCATTTTTTTTTCATTTTTTGTCCTTTTCGTTTTTTCGCTTCAGCCGAGAAGGAAAGGACCATTGATTTGTGTGGCAATAATAGAACGAAAAAATGCGGTTGGATTTTTTAATCTCTCTTATGCCATATATTTTACATGTTTTTTTTCTTTGGTTATATGTATATAATGAAAAAAGGGCATATCTTAGATGACATAAAATATAATATACTGAATTATCGTATATTCATTTGCTAATAAAAAAATTTAACCCCAATTTAAGTTTCAAAAGATTAGAGTGTGATATTATAATCTACGAGCATCATTTAAATATTTTTTAAGATTTCGCGACTCACACGAACAGCACCCGAAACTCTCCGGGTTACACTAATTCTGATTGGCTCGTGTTGCGGAAATCAAAATTTTATTTTGACAGTTCTACAATTTTAATTAATGTTATGATTTAAAACGAATTTATACACTTTTTAATGTCGGATGACGAGTGACGGTAATTAATTGAATCTCCCCCATAAAAAGCAGCGAATATAATTTATATGATATGGAGCAGTCGACCAAAAAAAAAAAATTAACGGTAGAAGTATTGCTGAAGTCTATACATCTTATTATTAAAATTAACCTGAAGATTTTTCGAAAAGTTGAAATACTTCGTATTCTACAACGTAAAAGCCTTTTGCATGCATTTTTCATAGTATCTATTATCACAACTACCAAAGTTGCCCATATTTGATATGAGATAAATCGCATCTTTCATTCTACTTAAAATAACATCTTTTAACTCATAAATGTGAATGAAAATATGAACTTTTTATTAATTTGATGATTCCCATATTATAGGATTATATCCTGCAAGAATCTCATGGTCCCTTTCACTTTAACAATCATTACGGTTTTTGGTTTGTCATCACAGAATTTATGAAAAGTCTCCGCGTCAATCCATCCCGGCTACCATGTAACAGTAATTTAAATTCTTTGGGATTATTAAAGGTATTATAAGGTGTACGGGATGTTTAACTTCCTTTTTTTATCACCCAAACTTGCAACATACGCGGCAACTTTATTCGTAATTAATTTCGGATCGATCTTTGAACCTCCTTGTATTATCTTCATCCAAATAATATTTCATTAAATCTTCATAGAGTTGATCTTTTAGAAGTTTCCTATAAGGTCTAATTCTTTTCAAGAATGCTTTTGACGATAATTGAAAGGATCTTATTAAAGGTAAACATTTTGTAGGGTTATCTCCATTTCTTTAAAATCGTTATTAGACCAGATTTCGGGATCTGGAAGTAAAGTTTGTTCCTTGCGAGACCCCATTTTAATACATATTCCCACCTTCACATTTAAGGTAACAAGGGATTTTTTCGGAACAGATGTGAAATGAATACCTTTTCAGGATAAATTTTGACATAAAATCAGTGACGTTCCTTGAAATTATTATTTGAAGGATTGTACTATGAATTAGTGAGAAATTTCTTCCATTCATTTGGCTTCGCTTTTAATCAAATATGTTTGTAAATAATTGACAAACTCTTTTAAATGAAACTTTTTGGCTATAACAATCACATTGAATAAATCTAGTGGTTCCACCCCTTTCAAGGAAAGTGTATCACCAAAAAGAAAATATTTATATCTAGAAAATTTAATTAATAAATTGTTTTATAAATTACCTTAAAATTATTTGAAAGATATCCGGAGATAGTTCGGAACCATTTTCATTTGTAATTAACCTTCTACGAAAATAAGACGAACGGCATGTGAGCTCGAAATATTTTCACCTCAGGATCTTGTCCAAATTCAATTGTAATATCATAATACTAATCATCCTCGAACGAAAGGAAACATGGGTACGCAGGAAATATTTACTGCGCCTCTCATGTGACATCGTCATCTACCAACCAAATTTACTAACATCAATTTAAGCAATGCTGTATCCTGTAACACTTTAACGATGCGAGAAAAAAATCCAGTGGGTAAGTCGATATATTGTGAACATTCTCTTGCGCCCAAGGAGGTTCATATGTAAAGAAAAGCCCGGATTCTCATGATGCGATCATACTTGTCGATTTCAAGATCATGCGGAGGTAAGTTTCATCAGTTGATCTTTTATCCACTCTGCTTAAATCAAACGAAAACCAAACGAAAATTCTAATAAAACTTCAAACTTACCATAATATCCATCGCCAATAACATCAATCAATCCAATGAGAATATCCTAAAAATACTAACCGATTTTCACGGCTTTATAGATGTACAAGTCAAAGCGGACATATTACCTTTATATTCGCCGAGTGGATCATCGGCGCAGTAACATTCCTATGGCTTGAGTGTCTCGGACGCAGTATCGAAAGCAAATTTCGGAAACCTTGTTCTGGCAAATAAAGATATACATAAAAAATACTACGTACGTCACAGAGAATCAATTGCCGATCATTAATTTCAACATATTAAATATTATTTTTTTTATGAAATCAATTTTTTATTATTTTTTTATTACAGTAAAAACAATTAAATTCATTTTTATGAAAATTTAAATTTTCACGATGCTAATTATAATTAAGTTTTATACAATGTAGATAAATCTATAGTATATATTACGTTTTATTGATATAGTATGTTTCAAAGTTTATATTATTATGAAAAGATGGTCTTATCATATATAATTATTTCTCGTTAATTATAGTCATTATAGTTAACCTGTGCAAAGATGACATGATATTTTAACCTATAGAAAACAAATCCGTCACCTATTGGATAATGAAGGAAAGTATTAAGAATATATGGCTGTAATTACTAACAATCAATAAAATAAAAGGGTAAACCTGAGAAGGAGGATCATAAAAGCTACCCGAAGAAGTTCATGTGCAAAACCCAACAAATTTTGATATTCATCAAAAGAGCCTACACAGAATAGCAAAGATGCCACATAAAATGCTTTTAAATGTTAAACCTTTTTAAATCCTCAAACTACATGAAAATCTAAATCTCATTATTAAATAAACAAAACAGTTTGAAAAATAAAGCTAAAGGAAGGGATCTTGTTAAAGGATAAAAGAAAAAAATACTTCCCTATAAATAACTAAATGCCAAAGAAATACTGGTTACTATTGTTGAGTGCTAATGATATTTCCAAAATGAAAAGAAAAAGAATGTGTAAATATTTTGAATTTTTGTGTTCGAAATTATTTAAAAGCAATTATTTATTCCGTGACCAAGAAAACTTGAAGACAAGCCGAATAATGCTTCAGTCTGATGTGTCGGATTCTTAAGATGCAAAAAAATAGGCAACTTCATTCAGCTAAGGCCAAGGCTTGAATCACCAGAATTAACCTATATTCAACGGCATTAATTTTCAGAAGTTTTAACTTGTTTCTTTGTTTCCCTATTTGCTTTAACTATTATTTTTTTTCCTTGTATTTTTATTTTTATTTTTTTTTTGTTCATTAAACCCACGTAATTAATCATGTGAACCATGAATCACATGATGGAATTAATTAGTTGAATGATAAAAATAGCTAAAAGCATCAATTATTTTTAAAACAAACAAATAAAAAATTATGCCGTTAAAAAAAGCTTAAATATTCTTACATCGGTAAACCAGAATAAAGCCTAACTTTATCAGTCCCTTTTTTTTCGCACGAAGAAACTATTTGGCCTAAATGTACAATGTAAATAAATTTAGTTAAAATACGCTTCGTAAACCGCCATACGACCGCCACAAGCATAAATCTAAATTATAAAAAATACGCGTTCATGTCTCTAAATCTATAAATAGATTTCATTATATTAAAAGTGGCTTATTATTTTTGAACTTTTCATATGAAATTATCACATGATCACATGTTTCAAAATGACGTTATACAATGTAATAATGTAATACTGCATATTCTGTAATACGTGCAGATCGAAATTCTAACACAATATGTATTTCATGAATGGCTAATGGCTGGTGCAAGCCAAGGAGTTCCTCCTTCGGTGATTAAAAAGTTGTTCAAAATACCTAGACACAATAGGCATCATCATCGTCATATTAATTGAAATAGGCTTTTTTTATTATGTCAATACAACGTTTGATGTAACGTTCGATTGAGGAATACATATTTCTTACGTTTAGATCATCATTTCTTAACTATATTCAGATTGAGTAATTATGTCATGTGTTTTATGGCGTTTAATTTTCTATTATAAAGACCTCAAAAAAAGTTCCCTCTGGAAAAAGAATCAAAAAATAAATCAAACCTCAATCTTTAAATTTCACACAAAAAATAATAATAATAATTCTAAATGGCTGTCACTTTTTCTGATATTTTCAAAATCATCTTCGCTGTCATCCTTCCACCTTTAGGTGTCTTGTTAGAAAAAGGATGTGGTGCTGACCTCTGTATTAATATACTCTTAACACTTCTTGGTTATATTCCTGGTATGTATCTTTGAAACAAGCAGTTCAATATCCAAAGCAAAAAAAATTAAAAATTTTTTTTTTTTCATTAGGCATCATTCACGCTCTTTACATCATTTTTAAATACTAGACGAACCTAAACAATTCATTTAAATAAATATATATATATAAATACAATGTATCGACAATAAATAATGCTAGAATAACAATTCACATTAATAAAATAACACATTATACTATTTTTGTATTTTTATATTTTTTTTTTTAATAATTGGTAATCAATTATAAATCAGACCTTTGATTATTTAGGCATAAATTACAATTTATTGAAATATATAAAATAAATAAAATATTTAATTTAACTAATAAAAGACAATAAAAAGAGATGACATTTTTTTTTCGATTTTCAAATGAGGAGACCACAATTGTTCTTTCGCGACGGAAAAATGAACACGTGTGCATTTGGTGAGCCTCATTTATCGGGCTCACAATCTTCAAACTAAGCCAAGTTAGAAGTGAACTGCGCATCTGTTTTGATTTTATTTATTCCAATTCAGGTATAACACATAACCGAAGGTAGAAAAATAATCTTGATTTGTAACAATAGTTTATAAATTCTGATTTTTCCATTCTCTCTTTTTTTCCTTTAATAAAAAGCCCCTCATCTCCCTTTCTATTTGACATTTTTTGTAACTAAATGATAAGTTCGTTTTTGTAAAAGTAAAAAGTATTTTATTACTGTCTCATATTGTTGAAAATGACACGCACGTGCAAACTAACCAACTTTATCTACTTTTATAAGGTTTCAAAATATCAAAAAAAAAATATATATTTCGAGAGCAAATTTTATTAGACATGGATATGGATGATTACATCCCTTGGGTAGGTCAATCGATTAAAAAAAATTTCATCTCTTCTATTTAACGTTATTCACTTGCCCATCACCGACCATGTAGATTCACTCCAAACAAAAAATTCATACCAATGGTTACGGGAATCGTAAAAACCATCACAGTGGCGGTGGAGGAGGATATTATCATAATAAAAAATCATCATCGTCAAACTATAATAATAATAATAATTATTATTCTAATCATAATAATCAAACCCCAATTTATAAACAACAACCCAAGCACATTGAGTTTAATCTGTCAAGTATTTCAATTGAAGAATACCATGAATCCATTGATCCAGCCGCTGATGATTATAAATTAAGATTTCGTTATAAATATTTGGAAGAGGGTATATCAATCTTTCTAAATGATAATAGATGTAAAATTTATATTCCCGTTGATAATATTGAAGCGATTTCAAAAATACAATCAAATGTAATCGTTTTAACTTTGAATAAAGATAAAGATCATGCAAGCTCGGTATGTCTTTTTCTACGTCTATATATTTTTAGAGTTCTCTTACTAACAATATTTTTTTTACTGAATAGGTCAATTATAATTCAAAGGAAGGTTATCTTGAAGATGATCCTATTCGCAATAATATATGTAAGAATTTACTTATACTTCTAATTCGGGATTTATTTTTTTCATGCTATTCTTAACTCAAAATGTATCCATAGATAAGGCTACATCAATTAGTATGATTGTTCAAGAGTCAACGCCTCAACAAGTCATAGATATGGTTGGGCTTCATATTCATTACCTGGTTAATAGAAGCAACAAAGGCACAACAAGAAACCACAATTCTATCTGGGGACGATCTAGTGTAATTCCATCTCTTCCGGTAATTATATTTATCTATACACTTAATGTTTGTTGATGCGAAATAATTGACTTTGCTTTTCCTTTTTTTTAATAAAAATAGATGAAAGACAAGGAACTTCTTTTAAAATGTCATGTTGGCGCAGACATACGTATTTTAAGCTTTATTCAACCGATTAGATATAATGTTATCAAACAAAAAATACAAGCAGCTTTTGAGATTGCCGAAATATCAAAACTTAAATATAAAGATGAAGAGGGCGAATTCATCACAATTATTAATAATGCTGATTTTGACACCGCTTCTAAATTGTATTTGAAAGGAAATAAACTTGAAATTTGGATTGTCGAATGAAGGAATTTTTTTTTTCATTAATTATTAATGTTACTTGACACATTTTAACAAATAAAACCATTTATGTCTAATAGGATTATTTGATTAACCAAAGTTGGAAATATGGCTGAATTTTTTTTATTTGTCAATTTTCACAATACCGATTAATTTATCTAAAATAATTTTTTATTATACTACATACATGCATGATACTCAAGATTTAATGTTCTTTGTTCGATAAAAAAAAATCACATTTCATATAAAAAATGGCTTTTTAATTACACTATTTGCAAATAGCTTTAATCATAAATAAATAAAAATAAAATATCGAATTGGGTAACATACATTTGCAATAAATATAAAAAAGTGCTGTAAAATTTACGTAATAATTTTTTGTGATATAGAGTTAAAATCGAGTAATTATTAGGTAACATTTATTAGAAAAATATTTTACATAAAAATTTAAATTTTAATATACAGTATCTATTATATATTATTATAAATTTGCTATAATTGATTTGTCTCAAATGATCACATATGACATAATTTTACTGTTAAAATAATCAAGATCAATTTAAAAAAAAAAAAAATAGTAAATGCCTATTATAATTTGCTATCATTATATGATATTGAATTTTCTGCAATTTGTAATCTTTCAAAAGACATTTCATTCAATTCAAGTATGAAAATTTACTAATTCTTGGAATTATGCCTAGCCCAAATGAAATGAGTTTACAAAATAAACTATTATTTAGCATTAATTTTGATGAGAATTTTCTTTAATCACATTTGTTGCAGAATATGTGTATGTTTTTAATAAACTTTTCAACTTTAGATACTTTTTAATAAAATAATTAAATAGTTATTTTGCAATAAAAAGATATAAAAACTTCAAAAAATGATTCAGTTTTATATCCAAACTGAAAGAAATCAGATTTAAATCTAAAGGTTGAATTCAGTTTCAATCTTTAGTAAAATAAGTTTAGATTTAATATTAACTCAAAAAACTTATTTTAGAATTTCATATCTTTTTACTAAAAAATAGTTGATATTTATATTTTTATAATCATTATATTTACATATTAAAATAATAATAATTATCTTAATATATAGAAGACAATCAGTAGAAAAGAGGAAAATCTAAAATTTTTGTTAATTTTTATTATTAAGCTAAATGTGCACATGATTGAGATCAGTCAAGTAGTCTAATAATATAAATTTTGACCAAAATTTAGATTTCCCCCTTTTCTACAATCGTCTTTCATATTATCTAATCAATTTTCATAAAATTAATAATTGTATAAAATTATGATTATATATAAATATAATTTTTAAAATCATCATAATTTTGGTTAAAATTATAAATTATACCATATATAATTATATGATTTATAGATCATTTCCATTTTAAAATATGGCAATACTATAAAAAAATAATTTTTTAATAAAATGTATAATATTAAATTCTAAAAATAAACTTTTATATAAATCATAAGTAAGGTTGCTTGTCTAAACTCATTTTGAATTTGGCTAAACATTTAAATCTTTAGTTTCACTAAATTTTTACTAAGTATTTAATATAGTTTTACCATTTTTATAAGCTTTGATATAGTTTTACCTTTTTCTGAATTTCACAGATTTTTTAATAAGATTTTATATAAATTATCCAAGTTTTATCTTTACCAACAGGAGGGATCAGCCTAATTAAAGCAAATTATTACACAAATTAATAAATTATTTTATACATTTTACAGTATTTTTTCGAGTAGTTTATGTAACCTATTTCCACATGAAAACTTAAACAAATGCATTAAGCAAACTTAAAGCATTCATACTTTACTGCAATATATTTCATTAATTCTCATTAATTTCATACCTTTACATTACTATTTACATATTAAAGACATATTCAGAATAAAGAAATATGCAGAATGTCAAACTACTAATTTGTTCAAATTTCGTTTGTTAAAGAGAAAAAAGTGAAAAAAAGCTAAAAGTAAAGACTTATTAAAGGTAATATGAGAGAAAGGTATTATTTTATGTAATATATATTATATGCATTTTGTAGAAAATCCTTTAAAAAAAGGTCTCAAGCAAATAAAAATCACGAACGAAGACATCACATATAAGGAAGAAGAAGAAAAGGTAAGTATGAATATTGATAATATTGTTACTCAACTAATGATTAAGCAAACTGAAACACATAATTAATTGAGTAGCAGCAAGATTTAGCTCAATTTTTATAAAGTTTTAGAAGAGACTTTGGTTAATTCGAGTTATTATTAACTTCAGTATTCTTTTACGATTAAGTTTCAGAATTAGCAAGTATGATGACTTCCAATTCAGCACATAATAAGAGTAATTTTCTCTAATGTAAGATATTCTTAGTTGACGTTACAAAGTTTATTTGTAACCAAATTGATAACGTTTAAGTAATTAAAGATTACTTAAACCTAGATGACATAATTAGCACATGTGACACAGATAATTTTCTACAATTTTTTTTTTCTAAACTATATATTAATAAACTTTATTTGAATTATAGTTTTTAACAGATTGGGTCAGATCAGGTAATTGACTTGATCTGACCTAATAAGATTAGGTTAGGTCAGATATAAAATTGATCTAAACTAAATATACATTTAATCTGACCTGACCTGATCTGACTTGATTTATCTAGAAAGAAATTTTTTAGTTTTATTAGTTTAACAATATTTATATTTAAATATAAAAGTAATATAATTAATAAGAAACTAAACAATTATTAATTTTTAAGAATGTTAAATGATTCCAAATAATGGTTAACAAATTAAGAAATTATGAGTTATAAAAAAATCTAATTGCTTATTTATAATAAGTAACTTTTAATAAAAAATTGTTATAATTAATTTTATGAATAACTTTTAAAAAAATATAATCTTTGAAATTGATAATCTTTATGGGACTGCTAAGGTAAAACCCAATCTTTAGAACTGAATCCTAAGTTTTTAAAATTAAGATTCTGAATTTCTGCATAAGTTTAATATATATTTTTAATAAATATTTAATTAATACAACATCATTAGAAAGTAAAATATACCATTAGCAAAATAAAAATCTTCTTTAGAACTAGCAAATTTATTGGAACTTTTAGAACTATTTAGGACTGTTTAATATTTCTATTAATTTTGTTTAATATTTTTTTAAAAAAAAAATATAAAAAAATAATGATACATTTTTACACTTTATTATTTTTCAAAAAAAAAAAGATTATTAATATAATAAATTGTGATATAATCTGCCAATCAGGTGATTACTAATACAATTATGAAAAACATTTATAATTTTACAACTATTAATCTAATCATAATAAAATTTTATATGCATTGATACTGAATCTCATCAAAGTTATTGCGTTACAAAGATCTATATTAATTAGCATAATTAACTTTGTCAACATTTATAACATTTTCAACATAGTCAACTTCTTCAACTTATTTATATTTATTATCTTTATTTATTATTATTATTATCTTTTATATAATTATTATGTATTTTATCTTTATTATTTATATTAACTATTATTTATAAATTAGCGTTAGTTATAGTTTTTCTTATAATTGTAATTTTGTATAAATAGGATAGAAAGTTGCTCTTGTAAAAGAATAACTTAAGAGTATGAGTTCAAGTTTTAGAATCTAAGAGTTAAGGATCTTTGAGCATACAAATATATAATAAAAGGAATTTCTTTCTACACAATAATCTACACAAAACCCTTCCTTCAATGTATCTAAAGTGTTTATTAAAGTTATAAAGTTATAAAGTTACAAAGTTAAACCTGTATTGCAATAATTACTAAGTAATAAACTTAAAAGTTGATTGTGATAGAACTTATTTCATAGTAATCTTAAATTAATTATATGTATTACTCCTTGTTATCAAATCATCATTACCTTAAGTTTGACGATTGAGTATAAGGTTAACAGTATATATTTTCAAATCTGCTAAACAATATTATTTACATGACTAAAGTTGATTTTTTTTGACCAAAATGCTTAAATTGCTCTTTGAAGTTACTGTACAGATAAAAAATAAAAATAAAAAAAATTTGAGATAATACAATTACGAAAAATGTGTATAACTTTACAACTATTAATTCAATTATATAAAATTTTATAAGCACATGTTTTTGAATCTGCTAAATAACATTACTTATGCAATCAAAGTTGATTTTCTTTGATCAAAATACTTAAATTACTCTTTGAAGTTACTATACAAATAAAAATAAAAATAAAAATATTCTTGAGATAATACAATTATAAAAAACTTGCATAACTTTACAATTATTAATCCAATCATAATAAAATTTATATGCAAATATTTTTAAACCTATTGAATAACATTACTTACACGAATAAAGTTGATTTCTTTTAACCAAAATACTTAAATTACTCTTTAAAATTATTAAATAAATAAAAAAAATAAAAAAAAATTCCATGAGATAATACAATTACAAAAACATTTATAACTTTATAACTATTAATTCAATTATAATAAATATTTATATACATATATTTTTGAATTTGCTGAGTAACTTTACTTATATAACAAAAGTTGATTTCCTTTAACCAAAATACTCAAATATCTCTTTGAAGTAATTAAACAGATAAAAAAAATTAAAAATAATTTGTTGGTCAATGTAATTACAAAAAATGTTTATAATTTAAAATTTAACTTTTTGATTATAATAAATTACAAAATAATTATACAAACAATTTTATTAAAATATATTAAATAAAATTAAAAATTTTTAAAAAAAAATAGATCAAAAAATTTTTTTAAATATTTTATTTTGTTTAATTTGATTGGTTGACCTAAATTTTATCAGATCAAATTATAAGTTTGATATGACCTGATGTTAACCTAAAAATTTATCTACCTGACCTGGATTTTTTAGGTCAGGTAAGGTTAAGTAACAGGTTAACCTGACTTGATTTGAAGCTTTAATTTGAATTTTAAAAAAATATGTAAGTGTATTTTTG